GCCAAACATATGAAAAGCGCTGGCATTCTCGATTGCTGCCTTTCTTTGGAAATTGTTACAGACTTCTTCAGAATGTTGCCAGTTTCAGTGTGTTGGCGTTTGTTGACTCTTTGGCTCTTATTTGGGAACTGTCAGTAACAACATACTTAGATAGTTATTATATTAAGTAGTTTATGAGAATTTGGCACCAAACACTGTTCATTTTAGATGTCTAGCAATTATGTAGTTTCAAACGTCAAAGATCTTTAATGAGAATTACACCCAAAACTTGAGAATTCTAAAATACATTTAGTTATGAGAACCTGCTTGTTTGATAAACCGACAAAATACCAATTTTAAGTTTTGACTCCGTAATGATAGTTTTTTTGGTTTCATAGTTAATATATCTTAATTAAAAACTGACAGCAATTGAAGAAATGATTCCATTTGAAATGAGAAAATTGTTTGCTATAAATTGTTTCAAAAATTCAGAAATCCAATTTCACAAATATACCAAAGGGGTTCGTTCACTTATGACGTCCGAATTTAACGGTCATTTTTCATAAAAGAACAATGGATTTCCAGGAATTTCTATTGTTCTTTTCTTGTTGACCCCCCCCCCCCCTGGACGTCATAAATGAACGACCCCAAAGCAAATTCTATGAGAAAGCAGAGCTTGAAACGACTGTGTTAATGACTTTGAATGCCATTAACTGATAGTGTCAGTAATTGATGTTGATAAAGCTAATTATCTCTCACGAGCATAGAAATCGGATGTAACATCAGAAAAGCTTTAACTTTTTATAACCAGACAAAAAAAAATCTTTATCCTTCATGTACGTGTCTATTGAACACAAGAATAGATTATAGGATTTTTTTATGCAACCTCTTTGATCTTTCAATAGGAATTTGATATTAAGAGCTCATGTGAAATGGAATACATCTTGTATAATTTGATATTTAAGCGATTATGGCATTCCATGAGATTGTAAATTGGAATAAGCAATTAGATCACAAATTGCAAATAACACCACATGAAATTACCAAATCTTTTTATGCTGTTTATTGATTTCTTAGAAAATTACTTGTTCTCAGTGTGCTTTAAGAGCTGCATAGCAAATTAGTGAGGAGACATGGAAAATATGTCTGATGTTATTTAAGATTCTTGATATCCAAATGTGATACCCTTATAACCACGATTATCTAAATGCCATACAGAATATTTCCTTCGTCATCCGGAAGAGGCGATATTTTTTGGCTATGTTTATAACATTTAATTTGCGTACATATCAAGTTCAAATATCAACAAACGAGAACAAAAAGTCTCTTGAACAATTTTTTGTTTTTTTTTTGTATCTTTAATATTTCATGAAAAGTCAGGCTTATTCTTCTTTATAGACAGCAAGTAAAACCGATAAAAAGAAAATACGGGTACAATTTTAATGTGTATATATGGTTCAAAATATAAATACAGGCTTTATTACACTCAAAATTTTCAAAATTCAAACGAATATAAATTTCAATATTCTTTACAATTTGATATACAATGCACATTATACATAACTTCCATATCTTGTCTTTCGAATTTACAATTCAATAAACATATTTCAAGATATCTGAAAATGCCAAATGAATGCCTTTTTGTTAACTTCTGTGAGGATATTGGGGATTAGTTGTGGAAGTTATGATAATTGATAGGAAGTTTGTGTCATTTGCTATTGGAATATTTCGTATTTTATTGTATTTGTGTCTGGAAAGTTTTTAATTAAGTTTGAAATTATCAAGCTTGGGTTTGCTTGAAAGAAATGAAGGATCATTGGATGGGATACATAGATCAACGGTCCCATTCACGTCTATTTGTATACTAGTCAACGTTATTAATACATTTGCTTGGATTAGCTTAGACTTTAGACATATTTAATGCTACAGCCTGCAAATAGATTTCCTTGACAGAAATGATGCTTATATCTTGTCATTTAAAGTAGCTTGGATAATGATTCACATTATAACTCTAGTTGGGCTTTTTCTGAAGCTCTAGTATCTATTAAGCTAGTTATATTTTCAACATACAGATTAAATGTTGTAAATCTCTGCATTTAATGGGCAATGCATTCAATTTATTTTAACCGAAAATGTCACATAAAAAGTGCCTCAAAAACGAAAACAAAATTCCCACAATGTTTCAACACTTTCAATTTTAATTCACACAGCCTCTAGCTCATTCATCCCAAAGCAGAACCCTCCACCGATTAATATTAAAGCAAAATAAATAAACATTTATCTTCACAACCATAAATTACAATATGGATTAAGCATGTTTGGATAAAATCACCCATTAAGAGCATCCATTAAGCATGGAAGTTCGTGACCTTTTGCGATTATTCACAAAAGGATCCTTTACATCATAATCTAATAAAGTGCTTAATAAACTACTTTAGAAAATTTATGCATGCTTAAAGTTATCCTTAAATAAACAACATCATATATCATTAATATAGTCAGCCAGTAAGCATGTGAAGAGATGAAAAAAAGTAAATTCGCATTTACTTTGCACAAAAACATGTTGAAGAGAGAAGCGAAGAAAGAGAAGAAAAAAATGTGAGGTAAAACGGTGCGTAAAAAAGAGTATCCAAAAGTGATTTTAATTCCATATTATGACCTAAAAAAACGACAAAAGAGAAAAGGAAAGGCAAGTTCTTCGCATATACTTAAACACATCGCATTGTGATGAGGAAAAAAAGAAGAAAAATTTATTTACCACAAAAAAATGGTTTATGATCTTGGGATGTGTTTAGGTGTTCTGTATTTCAAGAATTGGTCTTTTAGACTATATTGGGAGGTAGGGTAGAATTATTTGATATGTTGGATGACTAATATAATGACATGGCAGCTATAGAAACCAGATCTTTGAGATTAAAAAACCTTTCTTATATCCTCCTTTAGAACACGTCTTCTTCCCTGGCTAAAAATAACTGTACAAAGTCACACAGCGTAGCAGAACTCCACCTTCCCTCACCTATAATTCCATAATATCCATATGTATCCTAATGTTTGTTTTTCTTATCTTTGTACACCAAAAAAATTGTCAAACCCAAATCTTTACCTCTGCGTTCCTTACCTTCCAAAAGCATTAAGTGATGAGCGTTTCTTTGTTTGTCACTTAATACGAGATTATCGCATGGATATGTCTTTTGATAATCAAATGTGAATATACATCATTCTGCTGCCGTTGTTATTTTACCATCCTTTCAATACATATTTTCATCATGCGAGAAAGCATAAAGCTCATCAATCTTTATTTTACCTTTTGCCTTCTTAATCCTATTCTTCTTGTTCATACCCCATAAATTCCCACTCCCTCCTTACGATTTTAACTCACGAATCTTGTGTGTTGTGTGTAGCTTGTAGCACTTGATTTTTATTTACTTTCTCATCCGCTAACATTTGTGGAAATTTCATTTGAAGATTTTTTTTGTGCTGCTTCGTCTTTCCTTTCCTTTTTCGGTAAATTCAAAATAATATTTTTTTAAGATCTTGAAATTTTTTTTATTGTGTGTTTTCATTTCTGTTCCATTTTTTCGTTTCTATTTTTGTGTTTATTCTGTATTTTGAAGCACATACTTACAATAACAAATGCATATAGAAGCTTATTTTGTCTATTTGTCTGTAATGTAATATTGTGTGCTTTTTATGGGACAATAAGAATGTTTGATGAGTTCTGTGGTTTAAGGACTAAAGTTCTGTTCTGTTCTGTTAACTCACAAGTCGAGTTTTAATTAAAAGAAAATATTGATCAAGTGATAACAATAATTAGTTTATTTGTTTAGGAACTAAAGTTGCTTGTTCATCAACAAGTTAGTTTCTGTTTGTTGCTGCATGTCGAGTTACATGGAAATTAAATTTTTTTTATCTTTATACGGACCAGCATGTTCATATGTGACGTACAACAGTGTTGATGTTCTTTTTGTTGCTCGGGAAATATAGCCGCAAGTTCACTCTATTGTAATTCAAATTCAAATTTCCATTTGAATTCTAAAAACAACATCCAATGGAACTTCTGAGAAGAAACTTTTTAAATGAAATATAAGCTTTCGTAGTCGACCTCTAATTAATTATTTACGGTGTCTTTTTGGCTTTTATGAACTATGTCGGTTTATTGAATATTTGGAATGACTTTATGCTTCATTGTGTATATTTTTGTTTAATTGAGGACAGACGATTGAACACTGAAGCATAGCAGAAAACTTGTTGATAACACAGACAAATGAGTCTGTAATTTCACAGATTATCCTTTAGATTACACAAAAATTTGAATTAAAATCTTTTAAATGTTTGCAGTTTATAACAGTAATAGTAACATACTATTAGGACCGAAAGCTACGCTTTGCTTATGTTATTGGGGGGTTTATGATGAAAAAACACTTTTAAAGATTTAAAAGTGGTGTGAAGGGGAAAACAACATGATGGAAAAAGTTTTTTTTTAAATCAAGCTCATTTCCCATTAAGCTGTTATCCCCTTAGGTGTCCCATTCCACTTTGAATGAAAAATGACTTAGAATATATCCATATAATTTACTCAGAATTTAAATTTACAAAAAAATATCGATTAGTATCAAATAACACATCTCCACCCAATTTCAAAATACATTTTCAATTCCAAGCTCTATTCAATTTTCGTAACAAATCGAAACTTTTCCTCCCACACACTCTGAAACTCGATAGAATTATCCTCGTAAGTGTTACAAATGACATTACTTAAACAACAAAAACGATTTACTCAATTTATCATAGATTTGATTGAAACCAGAAGGGGATGTCATCTCAGTACTTTTCTCGTCGCATGCTTCAAGAGCTTTTCACCACAAAAAAAAAATATAAAATCCCGCGTAAATGAAAACTTTTTCCCAAAAATGGATGGAAAATGTTTTTTAAGTTTATTTTAAGATGAGGACGTTGTTGTATCCCTTGGGCCCCTCGACATTAATCTATTGTTGTTTCTTTTTCACTTGATATGTCAACAGGGATTCAAATTACATTTCTACTATGAAAAAAATAATTTTTGTCACTGACTTTATATGAGAAAAAAAAGCAGCAACAAGAAGAACAAGAAAAAAATATGTATCAGCAAGAAGAGGAGAATTGGATGGGAGATGGAGTGAAATGACAAAGTTAATTTGATCGTGTAAATATAAAAGCAGATGCACTTTGATATAAATTGAAAAATCCAATTTCGTTTCATGTCATATACAAACATATACACAGTAAAATTGTGTGCTGTATAAAGCGAGGATTTTTTTTACAGTTTGTTTGTGAAGAAATTTACAAAAAAAAAAATAAAAAAAATACGAGTAAAAAATAAATAAAAATAAAAAATGTGTACGTTTATAGACTGTAATAAGAAGGAAGACGAAAGCGCTGAATGCTCAAGCATATACAGACATTCGAATGCTTTGACATTCAAATATATGTGAAAATAATAATAGAGTTCTATAAAATTAAAATAAATGAATATTTTCTCATCAATAATTGTATTGGATTAATGTATCGAGGAACTACAAAGAACGACTCATACTGTCAACGATGGATGGAGAAAATCGAATTATCCTTAATGTGGGTGGTATAAGGTAAATCTTTTTCATACTCATTTAAATATATTTCATTTGATTATATTTTCTTCTTTCTTGACAAAAAAAAATAAGCAACTGAAGCACTTTTATAGCACATTTGTGTATCAGCATGAAGAATTTTTTCGTCTCACATTAAGAAAGTTTGGAGTTGTATAATACTTACAAATTGTCTAATTCCCATTTGCAATATAAAGATATAATTGAGCTTCATGTGAATTCTCATCTCATCAAAGTGAAATTCAATTATTTTTCATCTTCGTAATTTTGATGTCATAAAAAATTTTACGGATAAAATGTCAATACATTCGTATATTAGGGAGGAAATGAACTTGAGGGACTTGAAAATTTTCATTGATTTTTAATTGAATTATTCCCTTGAGGGTGAAATTAATTTTATTTGATTGAGATAAAGTGCGAAAATTTTGATGTCGACATATTGATATTATTATCATCTGAACAATCAGAATGTGAAATTTTAATTAATTTAATTTTTACTGCTCCCCAAGACTTGATAAATTGAAATCTTTATTACTTTTAAATAGCAAATGTCTTTAAAGTTTATCTCAAGTTATTTTAACATTGATAAAGTTTTTTTTCTTCAATTCTCCCTCATTTCTATGACAGAATAAGATTTTCCTTGCTTTTTCTACAAGTTTGTCTTCTGTTCTTTAAACTTTCATGTAGAATAAGTTTGAAACTGTTTACATTTTCCATATCGAACTTTTGTCAACGAATTTTGACTCAATTTGATGTTCAATTGACATTTAAGGAATTAAAATTTGTTTGAATTGTGTGAGCATTGAGGTATTTATTGATTTCAAGCGTTGTTGGTAAAGGAATAAGCAAAGAATTAAATTTTTTGTTGTATATTACAATTGTAAACAAAATTTTGCAAAAAGGCGGGAAAAATTTGATCATTTTTTAAAATTAACGGTTTTTAAAATTTAAATTTTTGTTCGTCTTCACAATCTTTACTATCTTAAAATCTACATGTTTAGACACAAAATAATATAACCAAGCTATCTGACTAAGCAGATCAAAAAACTCAAAGACTTCATTTCACGAATATAATAATTCCATTGATATTCAACAGACACAAAAGACATGATTGAATATTTTTTCTACTGAATAAAGGATGCATTAAAGGATTAAATATTATATGTTTTCTAAATTTTTTTAGGTACGAGACGTACAAAGCGACATTAAAAAAGATTCCTGCCACGAGATTATCACGACTGACTGAAGCCTTAGCAAATTACGATCCGATTCTAAACGAATACTTCTTTGATCGTCACCCAGGCGTATTTGGGCAAATACTCAATTATTATAGGTAATAATAACTTTTCCTTTTTGCACATAAAGTGACGAATGAAAATTTTTGTTGGTTTGGCTGCTGTGAGACCCTTTTTCGAGCGTAGTTTTTGAAAGAAAATTAACTATGAATTTATTTTGTCAGATTGGGATATAAAGAGATAAATATTGGCATTTTTATGTAGATTAAAAAACTTTTTTGTTCCGACATAATTTTTGTTTCAACTTTGCTAGCGTGAAATTTTATTTTCACTCAGCAGAAAAGCTTTTGTAAAAATTGCAGACGGAAAAAAAATTTTTATTTGGATAAAATTTATTCATTTGATGTGTTTTTGACGGAAATTACGAGTTTTAATAGGCAAATGATTTTTTAACTTTGCAGTTCTGTTCATGATTAATTGATTGTTTTGAATTCTTGATTAGGTTAACAAATTTATAGACGATGCCCATGAAACTTGTTTAAAAAAATGCGTCATAACCACTAATCACTAGAATGTCTCTCAAACAGCTCGTAATCAAAAGCAGAAGCGTTCCACTTCTTCCATTCCTTTATTGCTTTATGGGCAATCTAATAAAAATGCTCTCTCAAGAGTTAAATTTGTATCCTTTATTTATAATTAATAACTCATAATTACATCTCATATATTTTGCTAATCATCCTCTTCTTCTCCATCCATAAAAAAATATCCATGTGAATGTCCACATCTACCTCTCCGATCTCGATAATTAATTGAATATTAAAACTTTAAGAACTGGAAAGCTCCATTACCCGACCGATGTATGTGGACCTTTATTCGAAGAAGAATTAGAATTTTGGGGCTTAGATTCGAATCAAGTTGAGCCATGCTGTTGGAGTACATATAGGTATAATAAACTTGATAAATTAAATGAGGATTAAAGATTGTTTGTTGAGCACCGAAAATTTTACTCATTTCCATTTCAACTTGTCTCATTTCAGCATACATCGTGACACACAAGTAATTACTTCATTTCATTTCTGCTTTTGTTCTTTTAAATTGAAGCATTTTGACTTCATGAATATGTCACATAGGCACATAGAATAAAAGGGGAAAATGAACACGAGTTGAAGAGAAGATTTTTCCACATTAAGGTTCTTATTCTTATTATCATTATTTATGTCATTCCATTAGAGCACTTTGGCAATATTGGATAAGTTAGAGCTTGATGATGAAGAGTTGTCGGAGGAAGCACTCGCACGAATGTTCGGATACGACAATGAGGCATTACGGAGTAGCGATGATTTATCCTGTTGGCAGAAAACAAAACCAAAAATTTATGCTCTATTTGATGAACCATCCTCCTCGACCGGCGCAAAGGTTTGTGTTTAGATTCTCAATTTTGTATTATTTTTATTTTTCATGTCTATGTACAATCATAAAATAACATAGTTATTAACATGAGCATCACGTGTCTACTATCAAAAAAGGCTTTATTTTCTCTTTATTACTATTTTATCTTTAATGATTTCTATTTTGAGTCATTAATTTTCCGTCCACTCGAATATGTCCTCATTTTATCATATTTTTATTATACACATCTCTTGCCCTTTTCATGCTGTTGTAGAATACAAAAAAGGAAGCATAAACACAGTTATTTCTTGCAATTTCATCAAAAATCGATGACCAAAGGACAAACAAAGATGCAATAGGAATATTAAGGATTATTATTTTTTCATGCTTCTCATTTCATTGGCATTTACTTAACATTTTATCATAAAAGGGTTAGGAATTTTTGATGTTCCTTTGTCTTACTGCTTGCTGTTTATGGACAATTGTTTATTTTGAAAATCATTCTTCATGAAACTGCGAATTTAATGATTAATGACCCCGATTAGAAATTCTTTGTGTTAGTCCTGATAGCTTGGAAGGACAAAGCAGGGTTGCGATTCAGGCACCCGTCACATGTGGAAACCGTACAATTCATTGATAATTTATAAGGTTTATGTAACAAAACCATATAAATTCTAATAAAACCTCACAAATTATCGAGAAATTGTACGGTTCTCACCTGTGCACAGGTGCCTATATCGCAACCCTCCAGTGCCCTGGTACAAAGTACTGAAAATTTCAAACCACAGCTCAAACTCGAAACAATTCAACTTCATTTTTTTCAGAACCTTATTGACTTCATGCTTTGACTAAAACCCTAACTTCAAGGCTTTCGAGAAGTTTTTGTATTGCGCATAAAAGTGTAGAAAAACCAAGGTTCAATTAAGTACTTACCTAGCACTGTTTTGATCACATCCACTATTTACATTCGATCCTAGGAATTTAATGAACTCAATTACATGTTCCATCTGTGATTAATCAAGCTTCCGCTTCAGACAACATCCTACAATTTTCCATGATTCAATGCCAAGAGTCAGAATTAAATAAAATACAAAGTATTACAACGAAGCAGTCAACAACGATGCACGTATGATCAATATCTATAATTACATCCATTTCCATTTTTATGTAAAGCAGCAAGAGCCAAAAATGGGATCTTTTTTCAGCACATTTCATGAAATCTTTTTTAAAGTGGTTTCGAAAAGAATTTTCCATGTACGGAAGGCATTTATCCAAATCCACAAAATGAATATTTACAACAAAAGATTTTCCCATTTACTGATTGAATTAAGGAGTAAAATGCGCTTTAATCGGTCACGTATTAACATTTTTATTCTCATTTTGTTTTGTTTGCTCTTTCCCTCATTCTACGTCTTTATTATTTTCATGCTCTATCTCGATGAAGAAAGCCTGTACCGACATTAATTTGATTATCATTTTCATATCTATTTACAGATAGTTGCCGGTATAAGTGTATTTTTTATCTGCACTTCTGTGATATCATTTTGTTTGAAAACACTACCCGGATTACGTGTTGAGATACCTTTAACAATAAATCATACATCCAGTCCTTCAAATGACAGCTTTCAAACATCAACTATGCCATCAACAACAGAAGCCGGCTTATTTATATCAAATCGGCATAGTTTATTCAATCGTTATGCGGTAAATTAAAAATGAATTCATGCTTCTTTAGTAGTGTTTATTCGACAACATTAAATTTTATTGAAAAAATTTTACGCAAAATTGAAGATACGGAAAAGTATTGTGTTTCATGCCAAAAAAAGAGCTCATGCCTACACACACATATCGACCGTTTAGGGCTTATGAATTTCTCGTTTTTTCGTGGCAAAATTCGAGAAGTTTTATGTGAGAATGAGGTTAATGAAATGAAAATTCATTGAAAAAGTTTTTCACCAAATGTCTGCAGACGTAATAAGTCACGCCATGAATTGACATCTCTTTGTGAACTTTTTCTCAATCCAATCAAAGAAGAAATTTTCGGAATGTATTTTGAGTAGAAATCAGCAAGTATATTTATAGATGGAATTTGGCAGTTATTTCAAAGTGTTTTTAAAAAGAATTCTCTGTCTTTATTGCTAGCTGTTGATGCTTGATCGTGCAGAAAAGTTTGAATATTTTCCATAGAAAAGTACATTTTTATTGACACATTTGTAGTTTAAAAAAGTTTTTTTTATTTGCATCAAAATAAACCCGAGTAACACAGTTTTTGAAACGGTGGCTTATGAGGTGTTTTTTGAATGGCACAGTTGCAGATAATGACATCGTAAGAACAGCTTGATTAAAGCTCCATGCCAGGATTATTCACCTTCTAAGTACAGTCAAGTATTTAAGTTAAAGATTAATTTAGCACCTACTTATCGAATACTTCTTACAATTCTTTGTTGAATCACATCATCACTTATGCCCAATCTAGTCCCAGTGTCTAGTTCAGACAACAAAGTTAAGTTAAGGAACTCAACCGATTGACAAAAAGATTACCATTACTTCGATGTGTTGCTCGGGAATGATCACACAAATTGACCAAACTGAGGGTATCGTAAGTCTACAATAAAATTCCAAATATAAAAAATAATAACATTCTTTAAGTCTCATCCATGCATATCCATATCATAACATTAAGATAAAAAAAAAAAAGTTTCATGTTTATCAAATACCCCAAAGATATAAATTTCAAGCAACTTACGAAGAAATTGTTCGATTTTCATGAAAATTCGTAAGAGTTCAAAAATGTTACAAAAAACAGCAGGATTATTTAAGTCATGCAGAGAATATAGAAAAATGGACATGACCATATAAATAGAAAGAAACTTATGGGTCGTTCACTTATTGCGTTACGCAAAAAAACGAATTTTTTCACCCTCTTCCCCCCCTTGTTGCAATATGTTTTAACTTTCCCTCCCTCCCCCCCCCCCCCCCACCCTCCTAAACGTTCATAATTTATTTTATTTTGATAATTTTTTATAGGTAGTTATTAAGAACATTTAAATTTTATTCATAATTCATCATAGTTTTTCTTTGTTCATATTATTATTATATTTTTCAACCCCCCCCCCTCCCCCCTAAAATGCGAACGTAATAAGTGAACGGCCCCATACAGATATTGGACATCATATTTTGTTTAAAACATTTGGAACGTGAAAGGTTGTTAATGTCAAAGGCTTCCTACCTTCCATGCTAGTGTCTTGATAGTAAGACACAAAGCTAATGTGAAGAAGAGTTTTAGACCTCATTCAAGTGTTTTATTAATGTCTTGCGTTTCACAGCGGAATTCATCATAACTTCCACATCTCACAGTAGTCAAAAATCCATTAGCTATTTAAGTGTTATGGACCGGTTGCTTTTATGGGCTTATGCTGAGTGAGCGCTTGACATAATTTGATTTTTTTTCTCATTATAACCGTTGCTGTGGTTACTCGGTGAACCAGCGATTTAATTCTTGATATTTTTGTGGAGATGATGATGCATCAGGATAATTGAAAGTAATGTTAAGCTTTGGCTGTAAAAACAAGTCTCCAATGAAGTCATGCTTAAAGAAAATTCAACTTAAAATAGGTATCAAGCCAACACTATATGAGCACTATGCCAAAAAACTTACATTCTTGTGTGCTAATGTCTAATTTGACTGTTTCCTGCTTTCAGTATAAATGGAAGTGCCAAATTCAATTAAAGTTGAGGTAAAATTTTAATTAAAAAAATTCTCAGCATGCAATTTTCATGAATTTATTCTTGCGACACGAGTAAATTCTAACGAATATTTTGTTTCCCCCAAGAATCTCCAAACAATAATGCTGGCAAGAAAATTCCCTTTGATATAGGATTCCTATAATAGGAATCAAGCAAAAGCTCATTTTCACCAAAATGATGTACTCAACATTATTACTATATGTATATGTCTGTTGGCTTTTCCTTCACAAAGCAAACCAAATTAAATTGAACTTCATTATAATTCAATAAGCTGTTTTTCTTTCCCAGCCCACCAGCCTTTCATAATATTTTTCTCCATTTTATTCTTATTTTCTTATTCGACTTCATAAAAAAGGAATTGTGGGAAAAATGAATACGATCATACAATATGTATATCATTTCTCTTTTTTCTCTTCCAAGCAACACAGTAGATGTGTTTGATATATGAACATAAACTCTTCGACAAAATACCGTCAATATGCAGACAGTCAATCATATTATATGATTCGGAACTATAAACCTGAACTCTAAATCTTCAGAGGAATGATTTTCTCCATTTTCCAATAAAACTACTTTTTTGTTCTCTTCTTTCTTACCTTTTTATCCTTTTTGGATGGGGTCATTTGCAAATGACGTCAGAAAAGAGTTGCGTCTGTGGTATCGAGCTAAAAATAGACGATTTTATCAAATGAACGAGTAAGGTTTCTATAGTTCTAGAGTAGCTAGGCAAAAAAGTAGACATTTTAAAACCCTTTTCCTATGAGAGGATATGGGTTCGAATCTCATTTGATCATCAAATAATTCATACAAAACTCACAACATTAGAACGTCAAATTTATGCAGCGTCTGACCTCTTGACCTCCCTTAAATGCTAAACATCATAAGAAGCACGACCCCACATCTTCGTCGTTATTGTTTTTGTATGTTGTCGTGCATTTTTCTCGATGAAAAAGCGCTGTTGTTAGCACATTGTTCTTCCGTATCGCATATTGTCCGTGTTTTATCTTTGTTAGACACTTTGAACGAAATTAGCCAATAAATCTAAAGCTGAATAGTCAACTTACATGAGTGGCATTTAAACGAAGCCGTATTTTTTGAGATTATGTGATAAAAACATTTCGCTTTATGGAAATGCATTGAACGTTGACTCTTAAAAATTTGTGATTTCTGACGAATATATATTTTTTTACTATGCGCTATATTTCTCATACAATTTATTGAGATTTTATTAATTTTTTTTCGGTATATTTTTCTATCTATTCTGCTATTTACAGAATCGTGCACGAATGTTCGATAACATGCAGGCAACGTATGCCCATTCAGCATTTTTCTATGTAGAACTGTTGTGTAATGTGTGGTTTATAATCGAATTGTTCATTCGCTTCATTGTAAGTATGCCGGAATGATTAGATTATTAATAATATAAGAATCCATTTTAATATATTTTCTACATGTTATTATTATTAATGGTTCATGGTACGGACGTATAGAAAATTGTGTATTTGAAAAATTAATTTTTGATTAAGAAAAAGTAATTATTTTTGGTTAATTTCCTTTTTAATGGATGCTGGGGATTTACAGGATGAAAATGAAGTGATTTGAGCATTTGATTGCTTTAAGTGGGTGATTTATGGTTGTCGTTCATTTATTACGATCGAAATTTAAGGAAGTGGACGTGAAGCTATGTGACATATATATTTTTATGTGACAAAAGGGGGTATAGAGGATATTGTTGTGATAGGGCTGCAAAATTCGTATTTTTAAGGAGTCGTTCACATATGAAGTCCATAAAAAACTATGATTTTCAGATTCCCACCGCAACCTTCTGTGACAAAATTCACTGACGTAATTAACGAATGTCCCCATTAGTCTTGATTTCCACTCCAGTCCAGCTTATGCTGACTATTTGCATTCATCCAAATCTAGATTGTGGCAATAAGGACTTCAATATGAATAAAACTCTTCTGAAAAGCTTCTGCTCGATAATGAAATGCAAATAAGTGTATCACAGTCCACTTCTGTATGTATGTCATTCGGACAAGATTTCCATTCACATCATCCATCAACTACGAAGCATCCATAGCTCAACAAATTGTTTTTATGGAAGAGAAAACAACTAAAAAGACAAAAATACTCCCACAAAGGAAATTTCCCTTCAAGGAAGATCCTTTTTCAGCTCAGAAAAAAAACAAAGATTGAATCAAAGTTTATCTTCCAATGAACTTTGTTAAGCTATTAAATAAATTCTCAAGATTTAGTGGAATTATTTCATGAAAACTTCAAATTGATTTTTTTCTGAACGGATTTCGCTGAATTGTTTTGTTTGATATTTGCATTAAGTCTACTGATTTGTTTAAAGAGTTTTGGGGGGTTGTTTGTTAATGACGTCAATCAAAAGTTGGAATTTTTAAAGCTCTTTCAGCATGTTGATTTCCAAAAACCAAAAATATGATCAAAAATCATCAGCAGATAATATTTCGTCCCCCCCCCCCTCCTTTTTAAAAATGCTTGACACCAAAGTTTAACATTTCAATTCTTAAAGCTTAGATATGATTTAATTCCTCATAAACTAAGATTCCCCATCCTCTAATTTCAAAGCCTGTAAATTTGAAAATGTTGGATATAGATTGAAAATGAATAGAAACACAAATTGAAAGATAAAGATCAGTTAAGCATTTTAAATTTTAATTCCCCTCAACCTCCTCGACATGTCAGATTTCCGTACCATGTTCCTCCCCAATTGAATATCTGCCTTTCACACTTGAGAAATGTTTTCCCAAATTGAAAATTTAGCATTTAATGTGAATACATAATATAATAGTAAGATTCATGTCGGTTCACCACAAAAATTAATTATAATTTCATTTTGAATAATATTTCAATGTCTACAAAAACTTTTCCAGCCATTACTCACAGCTAGTAAATTTTCTCGTTTTAAAATCTTCATTATTTCCTACTTTTCATTTTCTTGTCCTTTTTTCTCTTCTTATTTTATTTCTCTCTTTTCCCTCTTATCTGCCACCGACATGTGTTGGTGCCTTTCTTTTGGATTTTTTTTCTTCTTTCTTCGACAATGAATATTTTATGGAAATTTATGATCGTAGGTTGCTCCAAATATGCTTAATTTTATGAAATCGCCAGTGAATATAATAGATTTAGCTGCAACACTAAGCTTTTATACGGACATTTGTCAGCAATTTGGACGACAAACTGGATTATTTGAAGCATTTTCAATAATCAGAATATTGAGATTATTTAAACTTACGCGTCATTCTCCAGGCCTTAGGATATTAATACACACATTTAAAGCATCGGCGAAGGAATTGACTCTACTCGTCTTCTTCCTCGTACTTGGTATTGTCGTCTTTGCAAGTTTGGCGTATTACGCAGAAAAGCTCGAGGTATGACAATCAAATATATTAATATAAATTAGGGTATTATGTTGATGTCTTTATTTCTGCATATTTTTACCATTTATTCTTATTTATTATAAACTTAAGTATTACATATCGAGAAGGAAATTTTCTTTGACATTAAATAAAACTAGTAATGCTGTCGTTGAATGATAAGTCAATCGCTGTCTTAAGCGTAGATTAATTATCGGTCTGTTTTACTAACGTGGATTATCCATCGATCGGATTATCCACTTTTTCAATCCGAGGATAATCCATATTTTTTTTTACTTCGTTAAACTGCACGGTGAATCAGAAAAAATTGATTTAAAGAAAATAATTTTTTGACGATAGATTTCACAAAAAAAGATTATCCTAGTAAGTGGATTATCCGAAGATTATTTGAGATCATCCTAGGATTATCTACATAATTAATCTAAAATGTTAAAACGGGGTCCCCCCAAGATTGAAAATTCGGATAATCTAAGGATAATCCATATACTAAAATTATTTTTTCGCGATATTCACTTTACAAGAAAAATGATTTTTCTCAAACTAGCTTGATTATTATTAACCAATTAATTCTACATCAGAAAAAAATTATTTGGATTTTCCACGCATCGAAGAAATAGATAATCCTAAAATGAGGATAATCCACCTTAGTGAAACATGCCGTATAATTTAAAAGTTTTTTCTAGCGATCTTTTGGAATTTGATATTGAATAGATCTCAAAAATATCAAAGTAAACGGTTCTCAAAATTCAAATCTTAATCGTTTTCAAAAATTCAAATTTTAACTGGTTTCAAAACTTTTGAATGTTAACGGTTCTCAAAAATATAAATTTTAACGGTTTTCAAAAAATCAAAATTTAACGGTATTTAAAAAAATTCAGATTAAGAAAAAAATTTAAATCACTTTTGAAGTTGAACAAAATTTCACAACACAATCCAATCTTTCCATTCAGTCAAAATTACATCCATAACTGCTATGCCCATTCAAACATGACTGAAAAGTTCGCCTATAATAAAATCCTCTCGAACACTTTTAAACCGCACATTATTCTCCAATACAAATTGTTATATGTTCTCACTTTTCTCATCTCCTCGTGCTGCAGAATTTTTGTTTCTGTTTCTGTTGTTATCGTACACGGGTCGTGAAAAATGAATATAAAATAAAACTTAAGTCATAGTAGAGGAAAAATATATATAATAAGATTTATTATCTCAACTTTTTTTTTTCTTCCTAAATCTTTCTTTTTCTCCGCCCTATTCCTCTTCCCTTATTTTTCCTTATTTCGCTTATCGTAAAAAAATAAATGTTTTTTGTGTATATTTTCTTATCGACCTTTACCTAAACCCCCAGGATAATCCCGACAACCAATTTAAAAGCATTCCACTCGGCTTATGGTGGGCTCTAGTAACAATGACAACTGTCGGATATGGAGACATGGCACCAAAGACATTCTATGGAATGTTTGTTGGTGCATTATGTGCTATTGCTGGTGTACTGACTATTGCATTGCCTGTACCCGTCATCGTTAGTAATTTCTCTCGTTTCTATTCACATAGTCAAGTAAGTGTAAACATAAATATCTAGTGCTAATATAAAATTCATTTACATATGAGGAAATTGTTTTCCTTTCCTCTCCAATTTGTCGTATAGGCTCGTTCTAAATTGCCAAAGAAACGACGACGTGTTTTGCCTGTAGAGCAGCCAAGACGTAAGCGAGGAAATGAGGGAGGACCAAATCGTCGTATGAACATACATCATCATCACCACCATATGAAGCCTCATCCTACAAATGCTCTCCTCAAAGATGCATTCGGAACAGCTAAAATAGGTGAGTACATGCACAGTTTATGTCTGATAATGAAGGGATTTTCATATCATTTTTGGCATGAACATTATGATTATGTCGGTCAAATTATGTAAGAGAGATGATTCATACCTCCCTCCACTATGCTTATTGATCATTATTACATAAACATTCCCAATAAAATCACGTGCAGAACATCCACAAAAAGCTCTTTTTTCATCCCAAAACCGCTCAAATGTTTTCATAAAGCTGTTGAGGTGTTCTAGATTGAGCTTTATTTTCTCTCTCATCATATTAAAGCTTACAAGTATCATGATACTTATATCATCACTTCCTTTCTATCATTTCTCAAAATTAGGTCATGTGAATGGTGTTAACGTCATCGGGTTATCAATGCAACAATCAGTACAGCCAGTACCAGCACCGTCGTTAAAGCCTCCGTTACTACATCAGTCCTCAACAGACTTTTCTGTACATCAATTACAGCCAAGACGACCAACAACAGGAAATGTTGACTTTTTACTGCCTCTCCAACCTGAATTACTTTTGGGTAAGTTTGTGAAAATTAATATCATAAATTTTCCTTTTTTTTGCCCGTTGTTGCTTGATAGAATAGATAATAATGTAGATAGTTAAGAACCTTTTTTTTGTGTTCGACAAAAAGCAATAAAAGAATAAATAGGCAAATATACATCAATTTTCATTTTTCTTTTTTTCCCGTCTAGAACGTAAGGAGTCATGTAGCACACCTTCAACATTGATGGCTCAATTTAATTTAGAACCTAAAGTGACATTCATTGCTGAAAGCTCAACGTCGTCCGGTATTTACGCAAACGACACATTAAATACTGATTAATTGTGAAAAAAGAAAATCGGAATCAAATTTTTGTCTTGAGAAGAAATATTCAAGATTTTTGTAGTAAAATTAATCAAAAATTGAAATTAAGAAAAATTTGTTACTTTTTCATACACTGATACTTTTATAAATAACTTTAAAGATGATTGTAATTTTAAAATTTTAAAAATTAAGGTTTGAAGTTTATTTAATTTGATGTAAAATATTTGAAAATCTAATGGACATTGAGGAGGTCTTAACCCCAATCCATGCCTCTACATTATGTACAGAAATTTTCTTCCGATTCAACAGTTTCTCAACTCATCTGAGTGACTTTTTGGAGCACATCCAAATCACTCCCTTGCGTGAAACTACAACAAAATATTAAAATCATCATCAACTTATCTCGATATTTCACATCAAATTAAAAGAACTTCTTACGCTTGAAATAAACATTAAGAAATTGAGGAAAAAAAAATTCAATTATATCGCTGTCACCACATCCGATATTGCATGTTTATAACATTAATCCATTGCAAAGAAGAACATTTTAAGTAAATATATAGCGCCATGAAAGACATGAAAATCATCATAATGATGATAATGAAAGTTCTTATGTTTTTCAATTTTTATGTTCTTTTTTTTCTGTGGAGGAGTTTAATGGATAATCATTGTAGTCTTAAGATTGGGGGTTCTTGAGTCTCGTGTGGATTGCTGTGGACTCTGCAGCTTAGTTCAAATTAAAATTCATGAAGAAAGGCTTTATTTGGCTCGGATTGTTACATTTTGAGCTAAAGAAGCTAGCTTTGTGGTTGTGTGCTTCAATCGCCTAATATTTGAACCAGGGTTGCGTAAAACAGGCATCTGTGTACAGGAATGAACCGTAAAATTCCTTGATAATTAGAAAAATCTTATAAATTATCAAGAAATTGTACGGCTCTCACCTGTGCACAGGTGCCTGCATCGCACCCTGATTGGAACCCACTTTAAACTGCAATTCTTGTATTGATTAAGAGTATCCTCTCCCATGTCATCCACGAGTGAAATAATATCTCATTAAAAATATCATGCATGCCAGTTTCGATGCTGTTAAAAATAGCATATTAATGATATTTAAAATTTCTCTTTATCCTCACCGCAATATAAACTAATTCGACCGGAAAAATATTCATACCCCATTTTTTCTGGCAGAGTAATTACAGTAGATATATTTAGTCATTTCTATACCACATCCCATGAAACTAATTTAAAGTCATTTTTTTTATAACGGGAAAATGCCAGCCACCCATTATGTTTTCATGCTTCAATTCACCAATTTCCCCTCGATTCTCATCCTCATAAAAATCCGATCAAAAGTAGTCCAGAATTTACAGTTTCGTAATATGCCTTGTTGCTGTCTCCTACACAAAATGATAACAACTATGGCGAAGGTAATGATGGAAATGATGATAATTGAAGTGATGATGGGTATGTAAAGATGATGATAGGAATGACGATAACGATGTCTCATTTCTTCTCAGTGTAGTGTTTCCACATTATCTTTACGCTTCCTTTTTTTTGTATTACATAGCATCATTTAAAGGTGTGAATTGAGAATAAGAATATTTAATGAATCCTGAAAAATGCGGAAAAAAGAGAATTTTTATATTTTCACGCTTACTATCTCGTATATGCTGCAAAAGAAATTCTTTAAACTTAATCAGAATATATCGCGTATGCTGAAATTTTGCAGTGGGGTAGATAGAATGTTTTGCTGTAGTTTGTGGATTTTACATTGATTTTTTTTACGTACATGAAACTTTTTTTTGGGGGGAGAAAAATGACAAAAGAAGAAACTTTTTCCACTTCTGTAATTTTTTTTGTATCTTGTTTGAAGTTCTCATAAAAGTTTGTCGAAAATTAACAAAAAACAAAATTATTTTGATGGAAAAAGTGGCGTGGAAGAATTTTATGCAAACTTTTATAGTGTTGAGAATGTTGAAGTGTAGCCACATTTATGATAAGAAGTAGGTTGGTGTGAATTTCAAGGATTAAAATTTGCAAGAGAAGATTGGAAGGTTAACTTGAGATTTTGCAAGATTTGTTGCGAAAATTGACAAGAATATGTTTAAAAATATTTGAATGGACGTAGTTTGATTCTCACTGAATGCAGTTTTTCAAACAAGCATGTTTAAAAGCTTTGACAAGCTTGCAATCAAAGAAATTCACGACAAAACCAAAACTTTGCATTCAGTCTCAACTCAACGTCTTTAGCTTCCCTAACCTCACTGAATATCCAGTAAAGCTTGAAACCATAGATCAGAGTGCTGAGCAGTTGCTCACTATCCACGCCAAAAGCCACAAAAAACTTTTAAAGCATTAAATGTCCATGTTCCATTGATCAGAACAATTTCAAGCTAGCTACATTCCTTCAATCACCGAAAAAATTCCATCAACATTCGTTAAGACATAAAAGGATATATTGAAAGTAATGATACAGTTAGATAAATTGAATTGAGGTCGGTATGATGTTATTTTCATGGACAGTATGATTAAGACTCATCTGTATCATTTCTGTTTAATGTCGAATGAAAGGTATGAAAATGATAAAGACTGTTTTTGATGTCCTTGAGTTTTCGTTTGTTGCCATTTCTCGACCTTGGCAAGAAGAGTTCTCTGACAAAAAAAAAATATCTTCAGGTTATTTATGATACGAGATTATTTTCGTCATTTGTTCTCATATATAGAGTCGAATATTTAAGGTTTATGAGCAACAATCCAAAAATTACGAGATAAATTGGAATCTCTAGAAAATCTCAATCTTTATATTAATGCAATGACTCATTTTATGAGCTAGTTCTTGTTCTTATTCTTTTGCCAAATGAAAAACTGATTTTTAATTACTTTCTTGAGATTACATAGCAAAATTATGGATGTAAATGATAAAACGATGTGGTTTACAGCATCGACAAAATTCCTAAAATAAATCCAAGTCATGTGGATATGTTTGTATGAAGTATTGTATATTGTAGATAGAGAAAATGAAAATTGGAAATGTTTAAAATAAAATTTGTAGTTGATAGGAAAGGGAATTGGAGAGGAAAATCATGATTAAAGGTAAAATGAAGTAATAACAACTTCCGCTGAGAAAATAATTGTTTATAAAAAATTTAATTGATGATTAAACACAAGAAAATGTACTTGTTATTGTGGCTTGTAAAAGTGTCTGTTAAAATTGTTTGAGTCATGCCTGTGGCCATGGTTTAGGTGACACAAAATCTCCATTTATATGTTCAATTATGTAGAACAATTTTTTAAGGGAGAATTAGACATCAAATTTACATCTGAAAATTTTTATGGGTCGTCGTTGATCCACAGAACCAACTTTTCTTCTGAAACAAAACTAAACTCAAATGAATCTTGTTTTTAAACACTTTTCACTTTAATGTCTTAGTCAAGAGCAGCTCACAGATTGTATTACATAATCATCCATTTGAAGGAAACTCTACTTGGTTGTATCTGCCTTGCAAATGGAGTGAAAATATTTATTTTTTTAAGATTCTTATCGAATTGACTCAATGCAAAGATAGATCTTACCCAATTATGTCGCAAAATTGAACAAAAACTGAAACTTTTTTTTTCAAGATTATTCGATTTAGGGAGCATTAAGTTATGATGTCTTAGAAATATAAAATTTTCTAATGTTCCTCTTTTGGGCCGTTCACCTATGACGTCCAGGGGGGGTCAGCAAGAAAAGAACAATAGACATTCCTGGAAATCTATTGTTTTTTTTTTGAAAAATGACGGTTAATTTCGGACGTCATAAGTGAACGGACCCTTTTGACAAAAAAATTCATTTAAAAAATCCAACTTGAAAAATTTAAAAATCAGAAAACTTACTAACCTAACCTCAATCATTGCCATCGTTAGTGAATGATACCTAAGTTTATTGGCAATACTGCAGAACTTAAGAAGCAGAAAATTAAGATTAATTTCAAATTTTCTGATTTATCAAGTTTAAAAATCTTTAAATCCTGATTTAATGATATTTCCAGTCTTAGATTTAATTTATAGCGATATATTGATATATTATTTTATTTTGTATGAATGAAGTTTAAGAAGCACTGATAAGTCACAGAATTCAAGAATGAATTGTTAACTTACTTCACGAGCTCAAAGAAGATTCTGTTGAGCTCTGACTGCTCCTTAGTTGTTGTAATAAATTGGAAACACCATTTTAAGCTTTGTAAGCCGCAAGTCGAAGCTTATTCAAGTGAAAAACTACCAAAAGAAAAGTGATTTAAATTTCATACAAGCACATCTGCATGACTTGAGAGTAAAAATTGTTCAGAAGTATCAGTTTAATGACTAATATGTGGTATTTAAAAATTAATGAAAAAGAAAATCTAATTGTAAGTAAAAGTAGATATGAAAAAAAAATAATTTAAATTGAGATACAAAATGAAAATATTTGAGAAGTATTAATGAAAGATATAGCCAAAACTTTCAAAACATTACGTTATTGACATAAAATTGTAGGTTTTGTTAAAACCTGTTACAAAAAAAATGAGAATAAAGAAATGATAAAAATTGATTTTGAGAAAAGTTTTAGAGCAATAATTTATTTTTATTTACAAAAAAGACAATTTGAATGAGATGTAAGAATTTCGGACATTATGGAATATTAAGTACCAATGATAATTATTTTTTGTACATTACACAATTACTCTAAACCAATAATTTGTAATTTTTGTAAGTTTATCTTGTGTCAAATGTCATTTTCAAAGTACAAATGTTTAAACAAGAAATTACAATAACAACAAAGAATGATAAATTCCTTGACAAATATTTGTCAATAGATTCGTATTGCGTCACCCAAAACTTTATTCGTGATGGAAACAATCTTGATCTTTTTAGTGCCAAGTTATAAAAAAGTTTTAATATGAAAATTGTATTTATAGGCGGAAAAATTGAATTTTTAACAGGCAGTTGAGGGGGAAATGAACTTGAAATTATTAGGTTTAATTTGAAAAATTTAAATTGGATCATAAAAATTATAAGTTAAGGGGTCGTTCACTTATTTACACTCCAAAAGCGTTATGTAATAAGTAAACGGCCCCCAATCAAACTGAATTTTTTTTTGGATTTTATTTTAAATTTTCCACAAATTTATCAACATTTCCTCACAATTTCAAGGAATTTCCACCATCATGACATTTAAAGCAAGTCAAAATTAATCGAAAAGATGATGTAAATTTCTTTAATGAGCTTTAAACTTTTATTATGTTTAATCATTTTTATTTGATCTCATTATAAAAACATGACAAAGTCAAAAGAAAATTTAAATAAAATAAAAGAAAATTGTTGCATGGATAAAAAAGAATAAAAGAAGAAAAATAATTTTTGTGACCCATTCAATAACAATATTTTTTTATTTCCCAAACGTGTTTGAATGTTGTCTTTTGGATGGTTATGTTCTGTATATTTTCTTTATGTTAATTAGTCCAAAGCTGTTATTTTTATTATGTCCATCTGCCAATTGCGAACAGAAGTCATTTATCTATTTCATTTGCAGCTATTATGTCAGCCGATATAATTGTAATAAAAAGATTCTTCCCTCATTACATGCCATGACCTCCCGCATTTATCTTCCACATCCCATCTTAATGCCATTAGGGTCAGTTTAATGGCTGACTGTAAAATAAAATCTGACAAACATACAAGAAAGTACATAAAAAATGAGAAATATAAAATAAAAATCGATTGAACAAGCTTCCAATCAGGCACTTCCACTTCCTGTTTTTTTTTTGGATTAAAATTTCTCCAAAAGGATCCCTTAAAAATCAATCATGTGCTTATAACTCGATGATTTTACATGCGATTGAATTTAAATCTACCAGATCTGGCTTCATATTTGAAGGTATGGGAGCATATCCGATTTCGTATTAGCGCATCGACTTTAAAATTCAAATAAAAGTGAACATCGTATCCGAGCAACATGTGAACACAGATGAATGGAGAGCATTAGTTGAGATTCATGACTGATTTATTTTTTCAGTTTTTTGAGGAAGCTTGCGGATATTTTGATGAGGTTTTGCCTGCTGTTTTTAAATCTGTTGTTGATTTTTGGTATTTAATTGATTAAAATTCAAGCTGAACTTTGATTTAATTTTTAAAACTTTATATTCTTTGGGATAGTTTGTCGGATGGATTTGGAATATAGTAATTTTTTTGCGGAAATACTTAAGAATTGCATCTAGACTATATACCCATAGTTATAGTTGGAAGCACAGGATCCAGTCATAACTAGACATTTTACATCAAAACCAGTCCATTTCCATTATATTTCAGCTCATACTAAAATTCCATTCCTGAATATTAAAAATAAATCGAGAAAATTATATCCCTAACCTCATAGCCATAACTGCATACCCAAAATCTATCCATCCTCTGCCCACTGAAGTGCTTCGATCCACAAAATAATCACGAAAATTAAAGCTATAAATAGTCAAATTCAGATACTGTAAAATAATTTTTTTTACATTTCCCAAAGAAAAGCTACCGTCCATAGTCAAGCCATTTCCGTATAGATAGAGGAAGTTATAGAAGAAATTATCAACTTTTCATTCTTCTTTCGTCATTGACATACACACAAATAAACGTTTATTTTATTTCATCTTTTTTTCCTACTTCCTTAAAAAGAAAATTTCCTCATCATTGGCAGCAATGAACCGAAAAGCGAACAATAAAATGAGCTTTCATTAACAATCTGTTTGTATTCAACAATAGATAAAAGCATTCATGCTTTTTTGCCTGCTATGCTGATTGTGTGTATATCCATCAGTGATATTATTTTTCTGCATACTCATTAGTCATTGTAATGTGAGAATATTGTGGATTTAGGGACGGATTGGAATGAGAATGTTATTTTTTCATTGAATATAAATGAAATGTTTAAAATAGCTTTGAATGGAATTTTAAAAGCTAAATATTTCAAAAATGATTGGGTAAAATAATGTTATTGTATAGATTGAATGAAGTGGGAGTTGGATGGAATTTGATTCTTTGATAGTGAGGAATGAGGATGTAATAATCAGCTATAATTTTGTCCTGTAATGGTACTAGCCACGTTGGTGCGTAAGTCTTATTATTTGCACGACTCTCTCCTGCATACTTAAAGTGGCTATTTGGGAAAAGGCTATGGTGTGATCAGGAGCTGGTTTTTTGAGGCTTTTTGGAACAATCTAGGGGAGAAACAAACATAATCATCAAATTATCTGAGAAAAGAGTAAGATGCCTTAGATAGTTCTTGAAACTAGCTCCTGGATCACTTCTTATAGACATTGAAAGTAATGTTGTCTCTTAGCAACACAACCTTGTCATAAAGGCATGTGATTATCATGTGTAAGTGCTTTGACAGAACATTTTAGGTTGTGTGTCATTCAGGGAACTTCAAGTCACTCGAAACGTTGCCAGTAGTTCTTAAAAAATGTCAAAAAATCCAAAAACTAAAATTTAAATCAATAAAAATCAGTTGGCAGAATTTTTTCGTCCACACCACAAATAATTCATAATCAAGATAGGAAAAGAGCGTAGCATTAATGCACAGAGTCGAATTTTCTAATGTATGAAAGAAAGAAGAAAAATTCAACCATATCATGCTTCATCATTTTAAAGCTTATTTACATTCAACAATTTTTTTTCCTTCTGTACATGCTTTAAAGTATGAAAAGTATAAAGTATAGTGGAAAGAGAAAAAGGAAAAAAAAAATCGAACAAAATTTTCTCATGGAAGAGCAAAAAAAAAATACGTGTTGGACATAGCAAAACCATTATTGTGGTATTTTTCTTAAGCTATACGCATGTCTTCTTTCTCAACTAAAAAACTTCCTATTCCATTTTTTCCAGTATTTATTTTCTCATCATCAAAATGATGAAATAAAAGAAAATTTCTGGAACAGATTTTATTTATAGATGAATAATACAAAATCCAAATAAAGAATCGCTTTCATTTCCCGAATGTCATAAAGAAAAAATTTCTTTTTATAATAAACTCTAAATTTTCTGTTTCAATGCTTTTTTTTCTCTCTGTTGAGAGCGCGAGAGAGTCAGGCTTGGAAAATTGATATTCTCTTTTCGAAAATTTCCTGTTTTTCCATACTTCAACGCCTTTTTATGTCGAAAACAGAAAATGAAAAGAAAAATTTTTACGAAAAAGAAAATCTTTTACTCAATCAATTTTTCGCATTTTCCAGCTAGTAGTTGTCGAAACATCGTTAATGTCACTTGTTCGGAGTCGAAAGAATAAAAAAATATTATAAAAAATTTTTACATTTTTTTTTTACTATTTAAACAAAGATTTTAATTAAACAAAAAAAAATCTAGTTAAGAACGATAAAAGTGAATAAATTTTGGATTGATTTTTATGTTTTAAGTTTCGTTAAGTTCAATTATTGCCTCCTGTACACAATTGTAATAGAGAAAAAGGAAGGAATTTGTTACTTTAAAGTTTTTCACACCGAAAAAAAAGCGAAAACTTTAAGTGAAAATAAAATAAAAATCATGTCAGTGCTAACAATTGGGTGGAGTGAAAGATTTTCACAGATTTACGGATGACCGTAGAACGTGTAAAATAAATCATATGAACCGTTTGATGCCATCAAAATCGGATTTACACGGCATAAAAGAATAATTTTTCTTCTTCTTGTAATAAATTAAAAATACGTAAGAAGCCAGGAAGGAAGAGAGGAAATAGAAAAAGAAGAAAGAAAAAAAAACTTTTTTTTCTAATTGAAACAATTTGCTCGCTTGTCTACTAGCCTTTCCTGCTGAAGAGGCTAGTAGGATGAGCAAAAAGTGATGATGAAAGCAATTTAAAAAGTGATCACAGAAATTTAATTTCAAACATAACAAATGTTTAGTCTTCTGCAATATTATGTTTATTATGCATACAGTGATATAAAAAATATGTGAAAAAAGAGTTTTGTATGAAACGGAAAAATAAGGAACTTGAACATGGATTTTGAAACAAATTTAACGCATTAGATGGTACAATGTTATCTAAAGATTATTCGAGGTTACATTTTGTACAGAGAATTTTTATATTTCATATAATTTATTATTTATTAAATATTGAATGCGATTATGCGATGCTTTGTGAATTCTTCATGACTTCTTTTCAGCATGCTTTTCTTCTTAAACATGAGTGCGCAATTGTTTCGTGGTATGTCTGTTTGGCAAAACTTCTGTTGACAATTTTGATAGTTGGGGATTTGACTGTTAAGTCCTGATTTTGATAATTTAAGACCCTATAAAGATTGAAAGAAATTTTCTTGAATATGAACTCACAATTGACTCGGATTTCCTTTATAAACAGGTTCAAGTTGAGTCAATTCAACTTCAAACTTTGAATAAAATTAAAAGACATTATTTTGTATTTCTAACTTAATGAGATCTGACAATTGAAGCCAAAGATGCTAGAATAGGCTTTAAGAAACAAAATGTTTTGATTTGATAACCTATCGCGATCAACAAGACATTATAAAAAACCATAAGTTCAACCTAGTTTGATCTAATTTCCACAAAAATGAATGTTTCTAATTCAGTTTCTTAAGAAATTTGAATTCTGGATCATCTCTTAAGTTAATATCCACAACAAATTGATTCTGAATCGAATCTTCCAGTTTAATCAACCTTTGCAGCTTAAATTCAATTTGTTTTCAAAACCATATGAAATTCCATTTCCAGACTTATTTAACAAATAAAGTTCATTTGCTCTAAATGAGAACAGAACTCACTTCCTCCAGCCAGGCTCGGTTTTGTGGTTAAAGTACACAACAAATGGTATTATACTCTAACCACAATGCTATTAGGAATTGTAATGGAAGTTGGGAAAAATTTAATTTAATATTTTTTATCACTGACTATAACCAGGAATAGTTATTGATGTGTGTTTCAACATTCTTCCAGCTTTTCTGAAACTTCAAAACCTTTGTTTAAGCTTTAAAAATTCATCATTGCTAAAATATAAAGAGGTTTTAGACAATAGAAACTCTTTCATGCTTAGAATTTTAGAGTTTCCACTTGAATGTCATTAATAATTTAAGATTGACTTTGATATAAAGCGTAAATCTCCTCAGGGATTTTACACTCACGACAAACATCTCTTGAAAAGTAGGTTAAGCGTTAACAAAGCAAAATATCCCAAAAATATTTCTTCCTAGTAGTTCTTTTTTCAAACTTCAAGTTTTAGCCATTTTCTGACAGTATCCAAGGAAGCTTGATCCCTAGTAACAGTTAATCAATTCCTACAGTCAATTTTTCTGATCAAAGCTTTATTTAACCTTTAAAAATGCTTTTTTTCTCTTCTTCGAATTCAAAAATTAAATTTGCCAGGACCTTTTTCAAACTTTTTATAAGTATGCGCTAAAAGTCATCTCCTACATACCAAAAAACTTCACACAAGAA